ATTTTTTGAACAAAATATCAGCTGCTGAAGTCCTATGTCATCCTGTGCTGTCCTTGCTTCAATGCAAGGTCAAACAGTATCTTGCTAATGGCATTCTCTCTATGGGGAAGCACTACTTTAATTCAAAGTCAGTATATCTAAGAGTTCTTCTAATTATTTTTATCCTTTTAAAAAGTCAAATATTTGTATCACTTTTAAATTTCATTTTCTGTACAAGGATCACTGCTCTAATCACTATTTGTTTCTGTTCTCCAATGTTTCCCAGTCATTAAGAATTTCACTTCCATTTTCTCCAGTGGTTATTATTCACTTATTTCTGTTTGGAACAATGTCTCCTATAACCCACACTTGCCTCACACTGTGTCATTGAGAATGACTTTGAACACCAATCATGTCTCTGCCACCCAGTGATGTGAAGACACATATGTCAATCATTCCGGCCTTGGCCCTGACTGGTCAGTGAGGAGGAAAAGGAGACAGTGTTCTAATGCAGCCCAGGCTTTTATTGGGGAGTACCAATGCAGAGGTGTTTGTGTAAGAATGGGAATTCATTGTCCATACATTACAAGCTGTTATAGTCCCAGCATAGAAAGGGAAGGGAGGCAGGAAGGAACTTTAAAGTTTTCCAGTTTTGTCTGTAGTTGGGATCACCAATGGGCAAACAGTAAACCAATTATACTTGATCAATAAATGTCACAAGTGGCCATTTCTTGGGCTCTACAGAGCAGGTTTCTTGGCCAGGAGATTGACCCATTGAAATGTTAGGTCTACACCCAGGACAGAGATTTTATTCTCTTGACCAAGGGCCTTTATCTCTTAACAGGCATTCTTTACTACTTTTAAGTTTCCTCCTTCCTAAGGTTTCCAGAATCACTTAGCATTATAGATCAGAATTCCCAAAACACTTTTGGCATCTTTGGCCTCTGACTAGGATAGAATTGCAAGAGTCACAGTGACTCTTCTGGCTTTTAGTCAAGAAAGCAACTAGTTAATTTTCTTTGGGGTCTTTTTACTCTAAACTGCCTAGTTGATTGCTAACTCCAGTTCTTATCCCACCTCCCTCTGAAGAGATAACCCAAACTGCCATTATGGGATTAGAGCAATGACTGATCTGTCCCTTCCAACCGAATTTGAGGTATCAGGTGGCAGTATTGGCTACCCTTCCAGAGGGCCTCTCACAAGGACCAATCTCTCAGATTCAGACAGGAAAGGAATTCCTTTACTGGTGTCTGGAAAGGACTAAAATGTCCAAAGTCCATGAGACATTCTTGATGGGCTCACAGTAGCCCCTGTTTATTAGATATTTCCCTTTAACCTCTATAGTTGGTCTCCAGAGTGATGAACCTACAGTAAGCTTTCACACTCTTTCAAGGCTGTTTCATCAGCCAAAAGTTAGCATGAAGCCCTTCCCATGTAGCTTCTGGAGAGGGAGAGAAGAGGTATTTAGCATCATTTAATTTTGGGATTAAAACAATCATGGACCTGTCTTTCTTGGCTGTGGGCAGGTGCTCAGGGAGCCAAGGTCTGACATCTCACATGTGGGCAACATCTTTTTATGAAGAAGAAAATATTAGTGAAATTGGTTGTCTAAATAATATCTCATGTAGAATTAAGTTGAATGTCTGTGGAGTGCAATTCCTTGGGCTTTACCAGTTCCCTTAGTCTTTGGTTATACTTTCCTGCTGAGTGATAAGAACCATGCAGGTAGGTAAAATTAATCTTTCTTTCTGTGCTGTCAAGGCTAGTTGAGCAACTAGTCCTCAGGGGTCACTTGGGCTTGAGGGGAACCTGTAGTTGGAAAGTTTCTCTGGTCCCACTAGGACCCTGCAGTCCCATAGCCCGCTTATAAAATAATCACTCAGAATCTTATATTAATTATAACTACTCCACCATTTGCTCAGGATTATTACTGACTAGCTCTTACACTCAAATTAACTCATAATTCCTGTCTATATTTAGCCACGTGGCTTGATACCTTTTCTCAGTTCTGCCTTCTCATCTTGCTTCCTCTGTATCTGGCTGGCAACTCCTGACTCAGCCTTCCCCCAGAATTCTCCTTATCTGCTTGTCCTGCCTATACTTCCTGCCTGGCTATTGGCCAATCAGCATTTTATTTATCAACCAATCAGAGTAACATACATTCACAGCATACAGAAAAATATCCCATAGCAGGAACCTCAGACTCTTAGCCTTTCTTTTACCAGTTGTCCACCAATGTGAGGATAAGTCAAAGGCTTTGTTTTATGTACTGTGGCTTCCTTTGAAGCCTTGAGGAAATCTTCCTCCACATTGACCCTCCTTTTTGTAGACAAGACAGTATTTCAAATTTATTGAGTGGGGTCACAGTAGGGTCTCGATAGCCTCCATGAACAAGACAATAAGTGATCAATGGCCTTAGTCCCCAGGGACCTCATTGACCTTGTAGGGAAAGGGGAGAAATATTCTCCCTTTTAATCCTTTTAACCATATTAGAACAGCCTCCAAAAATGATTATGAAACACCAGAAGATCATTTTTATACCAGCTTGGTTCTTTTAATTACTGTATACTATTTTAGTAGCCACATTTAACTCAATAAACTTTTGTTTGACATACATTTTAGCCAGTCCTTGGAATAGTTGATATCTGACCTTACCAACTTTAATACAATATATGATCTCTAAATCTCGTCTTTTATGTACCTTAACTTATTCAGACCTTCATAACTTGCAAAAGCTTTCTAGTCTTTTTTATTCTGGAGCCACCCAGTCATTATCATTTTTATATATCTAAGTCCTTTCCTAAGGCCATTTCCATGTTTATATTCTTCTATCTTGTTATTTTATGTACTTGTTCCTTTTTATAATACCAGGAGACATAAGAACATTAACAAATATATTTATGATCTATTGTGAGAATTTTCTCCCCTGTGGAGGGGGACGAAGCAATGTCTATACCATCCCCATAAGTCCCAATGACAATGCAAAATACAATTTCACAAAAGTCCACCCTTGGGGGAACCAATGAGTTTATTGAGCTTACTTACTGAACATGATTGAGGAGATACTTACAGGAGTTTGGATACTGTGGTGGTTTGAATCAAAATGATCCCTAAAGTCCCATAGGGAGTGACACTCTTAGGAAGTGTGGTCTTGTTTGAGGAAAAGTGTCATAGTCACTTTCTGCTGCCTGTTGATCTGGATGTAGAACTCTGAATTCTTTCCTCAGCACTAATCTGCCTACATACCATCATGCTTCCTGTCATGATGATAATGGACTAAATCCTTTGAAAATGTAAGCCAGCTCCAATGAAATGTTTTCCTTATAAGAGTTGCCATAGTCATGGTGTCTCTTTGCAGAAATAGAAACTCTAATTAAGACAGATATCCAAAAGCAGCAACACATGAATGTTTTCATTCAGTATGTACAATGGCTTTCCCACACCTGTATATGTGGATGTCAACTTCTCCTTACTCTTCTACTGCCTATATATTCTACCATTACATTACATTTCTCAGTGTACCTGGATAACTTTCTTATAAATGCAAATACAGAATCCACCTCCTCCCAAGTCTTTCCCAGGCTATGTGCTGTAGCTCCTCCCCAAACCACAAGGTCACATGTCATTAGGGTTGAATTGCATACAGTTGCCTGGGAAAGAAGCTGTATACTCAGAAGGAGGGGATACCTCCTTCAATGATGAACTATCAACAGTCAGCAAACCTGGTTGTGGTCATTCTTTGTAAGCAGGCATAGCTGAACATCAGAAGATGCCAACTGTTTGTCTTAAGACATTGCTGAGCAACAAGAATTAAATAAAAGACAGCTGAATAGAAACTGCATATAAAATAATGTAATAAATTACACATTTCCTAGTACAATCTGTTAAACTAAACTTTAAAGAAAACATAAGACAGTCTTCATAGAATACATGGCATTACTACTATAAACATGCCTTTGGTTTTTAATGGGTGTATGTTGGCAATATAAAGAAACAGCAAATACATAACAAAACATTATCAAATTGATGTGTACAGCAGCTAGTACAAAACAACTAAGAAATCCCTCTTTAAACTGTGATGCTCCAGCTTACTATAGCGAGATCTTTACACAGAACATTCTCTCTATCCTCTCCATAGATGAGCATCCCATTACCTGCTTTTACTACAGACATGTGAACAATAACAATATACATAAAAGGTGAATAAACATTTACATTTTAGCATCCTAATCTCTAACAGGCCTGGTTAATACACTAGTTATCTTTGGGATATTTTAGAAGTAGCCATCCCTTAGCTAAATTATACTTTGTGTAACTTACTATCTCCTAAGCAATGGTAAGTCCTTTATATTACCAGTTCTACTTTTCTACATCACAGCTAGTAGTGGAGTGTTACCCAGTACATGAGATGCCCTTTACAACCTCCACAAAATTAACTCCAACTGAATCTCCTAAATGTCAAACTGGAAGTGCAGAGCTTCTAGAAGATACTTGAAACTAGGCCTTTATGAATTTGGCAACCTGTCTAGGCCTTGGGAGGTTTCTCTAAGGCCCTGATGTATAGAGAACAAAACAGAGCTCTTTGTCTAAAACCAGGAATATGCTTGGGAGAGCTGGTCATGTTCTGAGGTCAGGGCCTTTAGGAAGGATTGCTTCAGATCCTGAGAACTCAAGTCTTTCCCCACATGGGGTTGTGGTTATCAGTCCCAATGCCACTGTGAACTTTGTTTATAATGTTCTTGAGACACCCTGTTTTCTTTTTGAGCAACATTGATTAGCCTCCTGAATTTGTGTACTTCCTTTTAAAACTGTACCCTTTGGTTTACATTAACAAGAGGCTTGCTGTTGAATTTGGTGCAAATCTCCAGCCCATTTGAGATAGGTCTGTGCTGAGAGTGGAAGCCAGGGCTGGGAACCACTATGCCTTGTTCCTTCCACTCACCCTATCCAGTCACTCAGGCTTCACTAGCCAATCAGAGCCTCCAGCAGACCGATGGGCGGGTTCTTCCGATAGCAAGGCTTCTTGCTCAGCTCCTCTGCTGAGGAAGTAGGAAGTTGTCTCTAGTGTTGTACCTTGTGCTCCGTTGTGGGGAGAGCGTGAGTGAGCTCGGCAGCTACACCATGGTGAGCAAGGGACTGTTGTGTCTTGACTGGGTGGAGCAGCCTGCTACGGTGATAGAGGGGCCATTGTCCCCAGACTGGGTGGAGCAGCCAGCCACGGTGAGCGAGTGTCTATTTGCAGTCCCCAGGCGGGGAGGAGTGGCCGGCCGTGGTGAATGAGGGGCTGCTGTCCCCAGACTGGGTGGAGTGGCTCGATGAGCCTCGGGAGCTGGTGTAATGGGTCCTCCCCCAGCTGGGTAGGAGCTAGTGGCCAGACGCAGAGGTTCGGCGTGTTCCTGCCTGGTGCTGCGTGCCCTGCGTGATCCTGAGTGGTCTTGCGTGGTCCTGCGTGATCCTTGCAATTCCCTGGGCTGGTGGGGCAGCCTCTGAATAACTTCTCTGCATGGGCTAAGTATGCACAGAGCATTGGAGCGGGACTGTGCTTAGAAATACCTAGTTGTTGACATCACTGTGAAATGTTGGTGCCTGTAGTGCTTGTATTGTCTTTATGGAAGACAGATTTGCCAAACTCAGGGAGCCCTGGTCCCTCTAGTAGCTTACAGAAGTCCTCCATGTTTAACATTTAACATTTATGCTTAGGATCCATCTAGAGTTAATTTTGTGGACCTTGTAAATGGTATCTCCTATGTAAAGTAGCACTCCACTGCTAAACTGTGATATAGAAGAGTAGAATTAATGGTAATAGGATTGATGGCATAAGAATTTACCAAATCATATGAGACATTAAGTCACATAAAGCAGAATTTAGCTAAGGAAAAGCTCCCTTCCAAATACCCCAAAGATAAGTAGTATGCTAACCATGCCTGTTAGAAATTAAGTAGCGTGGTAAGATGTAAATGTTTGTTCACCAGGATTAATCAGCCATTAAACTCCATTCTCATAACAAAGGAGATAACCCTGATTTACAACCAGGCAAAATGCCCAACTCTCATCAAAGAACAGGCCTCTAACTTGCTGCTCAAGGGTTTATTACAGGGTCACAACCAACATTAAGTCCTGATGTGCCATAAAGGTATATTAATTCTAGAACAGCTGCATCTCTAGCCTTTTTCAAAAGTGGTTTTGAGTTAAGGTCTCCCATGTTGATTGAGGTGGACTTGAACCATGTTTGTAGCCTCACAGGGCATTGCCCTTGCTATCCTCCTGACTAACCACCCTAAATCCTTGTAGCACCACAGAGTTCTAAAATTACCCATTCAAGTCACATAGTGGACTGTCCTTTGCAGCAACAAGAAAAGGATTTGTGTGTAGAGTATGGCTTCTCCCTTCAGACCAGAAGAGGAGGAACAGTGTACTGTGTACACTGCAGGGGGAAACAGACTAGATAACAGCTTGATCACAGAATGAAGTTTAAGGCAGTGAGCTGCAGGGGTCTCCATCATAAAGAAGGACCTGATGGGGCAGCATGAGTGATTGTCTGTGTAATTTCCCAGCATGTATTAATTCCTTCCATGTGAATGAAGGCAGACAGAATTTGGGGGTATACAATTTAGGGAGCATAGCTTGAACTACTGAGTATTCAGTTTTCAGTTAGGAAACTCTCTTATGCAGTTTTGTGCAGCCCTGTATGACACAGTTAAGCAATTAAGTCAGCTCAGAGGTTTGAGACATAGGCCATTGGCTGTAACTCTGTGTGTCAGCTTACAGCACTCAGTGACTAACATTTTACATGGGACAAAGTCATAAAGTCTCTTTTTAATGGCATTCTCTGTAGCAGGGAAGTGTCTATTCCATTTCAAAGTCAGTATAGCTAAGTGTTCTTCCAATTATTTTTATCATTCTAAAAAGTCAATTATTGGTATCATTTTTAAATTTTCATTTTTTAAATTAATTACTGCTCTAATCTCTATTTGTTTCTATTTTCTAATGTTTCCTGGTCACTAGGAGTTTCATTCCATTATTTTCTTAAGTGCTATTTATTTATTTAGTTAGTTATTAGTTTGTTTATTTAGATCAGTTTAGAGCAGTGATTCTCAACCTGAGGTGGTGAAGGCATCCTTTTGGGGGATCAAATGACCCTGTCACAGAAGTCACCTAAGACCATTAGAAAACACAGATATTTATATTACAATTCATAACAGTAGCAAAATTACAGTTATGAAGTAGCAGTGGAAATAATTTTAGAGTTGGGGTGGTCACCACTGTTATGATATATTATGTGGGAGGAACCCCAAGGGTATCCTGCGTGTGCAGGAAAACATGCTGGCATGCAGGGCAGATGCAGCAGCGGGCTGGTGGGTGACCCACTCCATGTGGGCATGGCAGCAGGATGGCAGGTGGACATTCACAACTCAGATGCTACATCTGCGTGTTAATGGTTTATTATAATAGGGATACAAAAAGAAGATAGGAAAGAGGAAGAGAAAAGAGAAAAGAGGGGGTTGAAGAGTGCACACCTCATGGGACTGGAGGGAGAGAGAAAGGGGCGGAGTTCTTCCTTAAGAAGAGGCTTCTACATCAGGACACAGGGCGGCACCAAGGAGCAGGTCAGAGTATTAACAACCACAACATGAAGAACCTATATTAAAGGTTCACACCATTAGGAAGGTTGAGAACCACTGGTTTAGATCAATGTCTCCTGTTGCTCAGGCTTGCCTCACACTATGTAGTTGAGAATTGCTTGAACATTTAATCCTGCCTCTGCTGCCCAGTGCTGGGAACACAGTCCTGCTACTCATTCTAGGCTGGGCTTTGACTGGTTTGTGAGAAGGAAAAATGGACCAGTTAATGAGTGTCCTCCAACCTCTCTGGCTTTTATTGGGAACTTAAAATGAAGAGAGACCTGTGTCGGAATTACATTCACTGACCAACTGTAAAGCAGGTGTAGTCACAGCACAGAAAGGGATGGGCAGGAAGGAGGGTTTCCTGCTATGACAGTAGTTGTCATTAGCAGTAAGTAGTGAGGCAATCAACCTTAGATGTTCCATAAATGTTCTGACTGGCCATTTCTCAGTTTCACAGACCAGACAGTCAAGAATCTGGATAAAGAACTGAACTTTGATGAAACCAAATTACTGTAGTTACACTAGTTCAACCAAAATAAAAGAATTGGATAAAATGGTATGGCCTTGCCTAACACATTATTATTTTCAAAGTTTAAGATGTTCGGCCTGAGAGAAATGGCATGAGTAGTACTTGGTGCTCTAATACAAACCCCTAGTCTCTGGATCACATGGCCATAAAGCCTGTTTCTACTTTTTAACATATTTTTTTGGATTATATTTATATCATTCCCACTATCTCTTTCCTGCCTTCAAGCCCTCCCATAGACCCTTTTGTTTATGCCCAGATAAAGGGGACCCCCAAAAGACCACCATGGAGACCAAATCCCATATGTAAAAGCAAAGAGCCTTTATTTCAAGCTCACAGCTTGGACTCTCTCTCTGACACAGTGGTGAGAGCAGAGAGCCCTGAGCCCAGGCAGGGTGGGGTTTTTATCATTGCAGAGGTTGGGGTGAGGAAATTTCCAGGGTTCGGGACCCTGATTGGCTGTCATGTGTTTAGGGGTATAGGGAAGGTTTGGAATGTCAGGTATTTCCCCTTAGATGCAAGCCCTCCCTGGGTGGGGTTAGCTCATGGCTTCTCCTGCATCCTGGTATTGCCTGCCAGTAAGCCTGTCACAGAGGCTGTGTCTGGGCCTCTAAGCCTGTCATGGCAGTTGTGTGGTCAAGCTGTTTGGGGCTCCCCGACACCTTTATTGTTTTCTAATCCATGGCCTCTTTTGGCTTTAACAATTACTGTTTGAATGTGGCCTGTGCTTTGCTGCAGGATTCGCAGCAATGAAGCAAAGAGTTGGCTGCACTGAATATTGAGTGTGTAATGGCATGTGCACACAAAGGACCCTGTGCCTTAGAAGAGGAACAGGAAGTGCTCTGAGAGAATGAAAGATTCTACTAAAGTACAAATTTCTTAGACTAGAGCCTTGTCTGACCCTAGAGTGGAAGGGCAGAGCTGGGAAGACCTGTGTTTTCTGAGTCATTCGATCTTTCTTCACCCAGTAGGGTAACTGCTAAAGTCCTGAAGCCCAGCTAGGTGGTCCTAGCTAACAAGGGACTCTGGGAAGGCATAGCAATCAGGAGCACCAGTGGGAGGTAGCTTGCAGGTTCTTTCTAGGATTCTCCTCTAGTTCTGTTATAGGGAGCTCTAATGAAGACCATAAGCCATGCCATGGTGAGTTTGGGGCCACTGTCTCCGGATCAGGAAGAGCAAGTGGGCTGAGCTGTCAGAGGCCTAACTGTTGGGACTGGGATGGACCATCAGTCAGACTGTGGTTCTGTTTGTCCATGTGATGACTTGAGCCTTGGCCCTTGACTTCTGAGCCTCCCTGAGTGTGGATTTCCTGGGGAGAGGAAGGTTCTGCCACCCTGGCATGGGAGGCTGTGGTGCCTGTACTATCACTGTCCAGTGTGCACACATAGGCATTGCTTTTGATATGCAGTGGAAAGACAGATTGGAAAACTGAAGGTCTGGTTTCTAGAAGTTCTGAATGTTATATTCCACTTTCAGGTTTGTCTTATAAATGTTACAGATAGTTTAGAAACTGGTAGAAAGGAGGTGATGGGGATCATCCTTCAGCAATACATGATTAGAATGCTTTTAACTTTCTGCTACTGCCAGCCATCATGGTGTGATTCAGGGAAGTTCAGTTCCAGGAGACAAAAGGAGTTTCTGAGTTCTGGAGGTATCTCAGTTTTTCATGGTTGGGCGTGTAAATAGGGCAGATGCCACATCTTGTGCCATAGTCTGTGTGGCAAGAAGCAGACATTAAATTATTCTTCTACATTATTTTGTGATTGAACATCATTGGGGCGGGTTTTGCCTGAAACCATAAGGGAGCCTGAGGTACTGTAGAGCCCTAGTAGGCTTTGGAGGAAATCACCTTCATTTGAAGAGAGAACTCTAGAGCATGGAACCCCTCTGGAAGAAATATCAGTAGCTTATCTTTCTCTGGAAGAAAGATCAGAAAGTTAACAGTTTGAGGGTCAGTTTTAGTTAATTTTGTGGGAGTTGTAAGTCTGTTTATTTAATTTCTATACACATAGACTCTTAGGTAGCGGGGTAACGTAGGTCAAGGTCACAATTTTCCTGCCTGTTTCCTTTAATCTTTTTTTTTTAATGACACTGGTGTTTTGTCTGCCTATGTATCTGTGTGAGGGTGTCAGATCCCTGGAACTGTAGTTACAGACAGTTGTGAGCTGCCATGTGGGTGCTGGGAATTGAACCTGGGTCCTCTAGAAGAACAGCCAATGCTCTTAACCACTGAGCCATCTCTCCAGCCCCTCCTTTGATCTTTTGATTAAAAGTTGGCTATATTTTCATGATTTTGCTCTTGGCTTTTTCTCTCCATCCCATTTATTCTTTCGCAAACATTGTACATGTTCTTGATTACCATAACTTTTGTGGTAAATATATAAAAGTCACATTGTGTCCATGTGTGTACTGTTTTTTCACATTCCCATTGAGCATTCTGAAGGTTTCCACTTTGCATGATTTTGTAATCAGCTTTGTTGTGATAAATTGTTGCCCATTGTCTTTGGATTGTATTCAGTTTATGGTGCAAATTGACCATATACAACATCTTAATATTGATACATCGTGGTCCCAAGAATCTTTTATATACTTTATTCATTTAGGTTTCGTTGTTGTTAATCCATGAAAAACTTTTAGATTATTGGATAAAAAGTTTTATGGGGCTTGGTAGGTCACTCAGCACAAATTCTTCTTGTAGATGACCTGAGTTCAAATCCTAGCACCCAAATTAGGAGCCTCGTAACCACCTGCTTCTCCAGGTCCAGGTGATCTGATACCCTCTTTTCTGGTGTGTTACCTGTACACACATGGAAGACATTCTCTCAGACATACAAACATGTGCATCAAAATGAGGATTAATTTGTTTTCAAAAGTGCTTGTGACTTATAAAACAGAGCAAAACAAGTTGCTTTAGGTGTATAATACAAGTCAAACAATGTTTTGTTAAAAGTCTGTTATCTTGCATTTGGTTTGGAAAAGTTTTGCTTTCCTCACTCTGATGCAGACTTACATCTAATCATCCATCATAGGAAAGCGATCCTAACTTTTGTGAGCAAGAAGGTAGATATGCATAGTTAGTATAACAAAAGTTATATTTTATTATGCTGATGGTCATCACACAAGGTTCACACTCTAAATTCCTAACTGTGCTCCTAAGCCTATTTCCCCAAGGCTGCACATGTATATGATATATTTTATCTGAAGTTCAGGTTCAGTCTCTAACAGAAGTCTCTGATTCAAGGGTCAGGATGCTGAGGAAGATGCTCTAGCTGCAAGACTGATCAAGGTGATGTCTCTCCACATGTCAAGAGCTGAGCATCACTCTTGGTCTCTGCTTATATACTGTCCAGTGGGTGTCATGGGGTTCTAGGATTGTGTCTGGTTATCTGGAGTGAGTGATATCACAAGGCTCTGGTTATCAGGTACACTTGGGTGTAGTCAGGTTCCCAACTAAGCTGTTTTTACGTGTCTAAAAGACTTTTTTTAATTTTTACTATGCTCATTACACTCCATCTGTTGGTCCTTGAGGCATAAACAGTGCCAATGCAGACCACATATAAGAATTATTAACAATTTCACAGCAGTTTGCAAATTTGGGCCACAACAGAAAAAGGAGAAAGCATACAACATATACTCTAATTACTAATAGACAAACAAATGCAGGAAAATAAATCTCAGGGACTATAACATACAATTATTAAGCAAAATGGTTGAAACAATATAAATCACAGGATATTGTTGTGATCCCTCTGGCATATATTTTCCCAAATTTATATTTTCTCAGGTTTAATATACCCCAAGTTGAAAACACATTTAGAAATAAAAGGAAATGCAGTGACTTTCAAATAAAAATGTTGTAAAAGGGGCATAGTAAGGTTGGAGTTATAGGACTCTGAGCTAAGCCAATCATTGTAGAGCATCATTCTAACCTGATCAGTGTCAAGTAGAATGTGGTTCATGGCCATAGGAGAAGTTTTTCTTCTTTTATTGATGAAAAGAGCAACTAAGAATCCAATACTCTTCATAATTGGCTTCCAGTGATATTTCTCAGTTGTTTGTATGTTAACATTATGAAAAACAAATGATGAATATAAAGCATTAGGAAGTCTGGTGAGTCTCCAGAGCCATCCATCTCTGGTCTATGACCAATGTATACAGACCCAGTCTTTTGGTAAAAATGACAATGACATGTGGGGCTGAACCAAAAATCTGGAATACAATAATCTTGGCCTGAGGTATCATTGTGGAGACAAAACATTTCCTGAAGAAGTTTCCTTAATTATGACTTGTACATGTGTGTCTGCCAGAATCATACATAGGTGGTTTGTTCCTTCTGGTGTAATAGCTTCTGGAGCATGTTGTCATAGTTCCTTCTAAAATGAAGTTTATTTAACAAGGCCAAAATAATCATAAGGAATTATATGCCAAAAGGGCAACATGATGTATACAAAAAGCCAAAAGCTCTCCTTTATCCAGTGGAGTAAGTTCCATGTGGGGAAGCAAGTATACTCAAATCTAAATATCCTACCATTCACATCAAATAAATAGCAATTTTTAAACTTGGTAACTTTATGGGTATAGGCAACAGTGTCTGCTTTGAGTAGAGCTGATAAACGTAGGACTCTGTCTGTCTGTCCCACTATCCCTAGTAATCTCATAACCCATTGACTGTAATTGTGGCATGTTAAAGGAAGAACAGTGGAAATGCTGTTAATGGCTTCCTAGCCTTTCTTAGCAAGTCATCAGGTTCAGGTTCATTATTATATAGGGTACCTGAGTCAAAAACATGTCTCTGTTCCAGGGTTAGGCTGGAGATCTTAGACGTGCTTACCTGTCCTGAGAAAGGAGCTGTAACTTAGAATTTTTGACTGGACATGAGCCTAGTGGTGCTTTAATTGCTTACATTTTTTTTATTTTTACTTTCATTCATAAGTGAACTCCTAAGTACTTGTTGGCTTTTGTTTCCTTTTCATGTGCATCCTTGTTGATTAGTTCCATTTGCAAGCAGTTTGTTAGTCATTTTCCTCACTTAGTCATTTGCTAAATTATGCTTCACTTTGTAATTCACTTCCACCATGTATATGCCTTCTCCAGGAATAAAACAGATACCAGAATCCATTCTTTCATAGTCCTTTACAACAAGAATGAGACATACCATAAAATAATCTTTTTTTATTCAGAATTTGGTTCTTAGTATAGAACTTGCTAGAATGGATCTTTATATTATAGACCAGGCTGGCCCAAACTCACTGAGACTCACCTGATTATTATAAAATCACTTTTTATTCTAGAACTCAGTATATCTTTGACATTTACTACGCACGTGTATGAAATATATACTTTGTTTTGTCTTTCTTTGAGACAAGCCCCACTGCCTCAGCCTCCTGAGTTATGAGATTAAAGGAATGATCCACAGTTTCTGAATCTGTTTTTGTTTTCATTGTGTTCAAAAACAAAAATAAGTCTTAAGAGGATCCTTACAATTTTAAAAACTTAAACAAGAAACTTAAGAATGGTACAAATAGTATAGGAGAGAAGGCTGTGGTGTCTTTGTAGGGATTCCATGAAACTGTTCACAGAACTTCAGTCTTAGAATATCCATTCCTGTCCTCGGAATTAGTGTGAAGAGGTATATTTAGATAATGTGGTAGAGGACATTTTTTAATGTTGAGCAATATCTCAATTGCATATTTATTAGTTCCTATATTTGTGGGACTTTAGTAAATTACATATTTCTTTCCTTGAAATTAGAAAATGTTTTTAGTAGATAGGAAAACTGCTTGTTTCAGAGAGTAAGTACTGCTTCTAAGGATTTGTAAGTTTCTAGCTATATGATGTTTTTCATCCCACCAGGTCTGGAAATGTGTTCTCATGTTCTAATATATTCACTGGATATGTTGAGAATGCCTCATCAGAAAATCTGAAATCCTGTCAAAATGTTGAAAAGCCTTATGGATGATACAAGCTTAGCTGGTAAAGTCTAAAGAGACACCCCAAACATCAAAAGGTGCTGGAAACTTTTTTGTAACACACTAACATTTTGGAGAATTACTCAGTATTGCTCACTGGAAATAATTTACGTTTTCTAGATATAATTTAATAATGCTTGCATCATTTTATAATAGTATTCAGCGTGGCCTTATGCTCCTTGGGATACATTTAAACAGGGTTTTGAATTAACAATAGAAAACTGCTGAGATACACTTGACCCTAATGTTGACATTTAGCATCCCTATTATTACAATTTTACAATGAAGGAAATAAAATGGGAAACTATTGATAGGTGAGTCTGGAAATTCTCTCTTTGCTGGTAAGTTCTAAACTCAGAAATGAGACAAACTGAAAACTTATTTGGTAGTGTTTAATAATATGGGATAAATTAGTTTAAAACTTGTGTATGCTCTTATAATACGTTTGTTAAACTTTCCTCAGCGGTTAGTTTTTAACCTAACTAATTTGTAATGTCAAATTTAGGACTGTGGACATTATACTACAGTATACGTGTATAGCTCCTGGCCAGGTTATTACTTGGTAGTGTTTTCTATTTAAAAAGGTGTCTCAACTTTAAATCATACCAAAAGTTTCTCTAGGAAGAAGCCACCTTCCCTCTTCTTAGGATAAAGCTTCTTTATTATGATTTTAATAAATGAGGTTGAAAATTTGGTACAGAATTTAAATATTAATATTTGTATTTCAATAATTTGATTAACTAATAAGTACTTTTGGTCTAGTGCAAAGAGAAATATTTTTCTTTTAAAAATAACCTAGCTTTAAAACAACACTGACAGCAAATAGCCAAACTAGTGGAAACACATGAACTATGAACCAATAGCTGAGGAGCCCCCAACTGGATCAGGCCCTCTGGATGAGTGAGACAGTTGATTGGCTTGAACTGTTTGGGAGGCCCCCAGGCAGTGGAGACGGGACCTGTCCTTAGTGCATGAGCTGGCTGTTTGGAGCTTAGGGCCTATGCAGGGACACTTTGTGCAGCCTGGGAGGAGGGAACTGGACCTGCCTGGACTGAATCTACCAGGTTGAGCTGAATCCCCAGGGGAGTCCTTGCCCTGCAGGAGATGGGAATGGGAGGTGGCCTGTGGGGAGGACGGGGTGGGGCAGGAGGAGGGAGGACAGGGGAATCCGTGGCTGATATGTAAAATTTTAATCAAATTAGAAAAGAAAAAAAACACTGACAGAATTACATTCATTAAATCTTTTCAGGTGAGTTTAAAAAAACACAGGAAATATTTTGTGATCAACAGAATGAGGTTTAAATATAAGGAGTCTGATTTTATTTTCAATTTTTGTTTTTGTTGACACAGGGTTTCATTGTAGTAGCCTTATCCAGTCTTGATCTTCTTGCCTCAGCATCCCTAGTTACTTTTTTAAAAATTGTATTCACATATTTGTGTATAGGGGGTGTGTGGAGGTCAGAAGTTCTCTCTCTCCAGTCATGTGGTGCTTGGAGATCAAACTCTGGTCTGGCTTGGCAGCAAGCCTCTCTACCCAGCTTTCTCACCAGCTGCTCAGTAATGCTTTTATTTTTTTTAACTTTTTGAAACAGTGTCCCATGCTGTGGATTCCTGATCCTCCTGCCTACACTTTTGAAGTGCTGGAGTATATCCACAATCTGAATTCTTAATGTTTCAACTCTGGTACTTTTCCTTAATTTTAGAAAACACCTAGGCATGCACATGGTCTAAGCATGTGTGCTTATAAATTTTGATATTTGAACAATAATAACAAGACATTTGTCTTATAGCTTTTTGTCAAGCCATTATTTTTACATTTCTGTTTTTTTTTTTTAGAGAAATAGCTGTTGAGTATAATTTTATTGAATTTCTATTTTATAATACAAACATTTGGATGGTCCACTTTGACTGTTGGACCACTTCAGTCTCCTGTCCATATTTAAAGGTAGTCTTAAACTAATTTCTGTTTAGCTAGACTAAAAAAAGTGTAATGTACTTAGGGCTTCTGCTCTATGAATTACAGGAATTCTGGTAATAGCTTTGCTGTTTAAGTCTCTCATCTGCCTAAGTGGCTAGCCTTGCAGTCTCCTTTTCTATGATATTTTGTTTGTGTTTTGACAAGTAAAGTTTACCTGGAGATCAGAGGATGGAGCTAGCCACTAGTTAGCCATAGAGGCCAGGCAGTAGTGGCATATACCTTTAATCCCAGCACTTGGAAGGAGAAATCAGGAAGATCAGGAATTCAAGGCCACCCTGGGCTACACAAGCTTGAACCAGTCTAAAAAAAAAATAGAGCCAGGCAGTTGTGGTACATACCTTTAATCCTAGCACCTGGGAGGCTTATGCTTTTTATCCCAGCATTTGGGAGTCTCATGATTTTTTGATCCCAGACTTGGGAGGCTCATGCCTTTAATCCCAGTACTAGGGAGGTGGAGACAGGAATATAAGGCAGGTGGAGACAGGATGGCCTCCTATTCGGTCTGAGATTTCATAGAGGTAAGAAGTCTCTGGTGGCTGGCGCTCTGCTTCTCTGATCTTTCAGCTTTCACCCTCAATATCTGACTCTGGGTTTTTATTGTTAAGACCAATAAGGATCACACTTCAGTCTCCTGTCCGTATTTAAATTGTTCAAAGTGTAACCTGGTGCATGAACCTAAAAGAAGCTTAAGGATGACAGCATATGTGGAATGCAAAATCTGTCCTAGGCTGGCTCCATTGTGAGTAGCATTAGCTATTGATGGATGCATGCTATCATTAAAGAGATTTTTCCTTATGAGTCTCTTAACTGTGTGAGGTGATTTCTCCCTGGGAAGGCATATTAATTCTAGAACAGCTGCACTTCTAGCCTCTTAGAAAAATGTTTCTGAGACAAGCTCTCATGTTGATTCTGGTGGTATTGATTACAGTCAATTGCTCTCCAGGGAAATAACCTTGTTGTCATCTATATTACACCCCCAAAATTCTTAAATACTGTACCACCTCAGAGTTTTAAAATTATCCATTTGAGTAATGTATCTATTACAATAGTAACTATCTATTTCAGTCACAGGAAAAGAATTTACATATGGAGCATTGCTTCTGCCTTCAGACCAGAATAGAAGGAATAGTTTAGTGTGTGCACCACGGGGAAAACAGGGTAGACAACCAGCTGCTGGAGTCACCATTATGAAAAAGGACCTGACTGTGGCAGGGTCATTGATTTTGTAATATCCCAGCATGTATTACTTCATGTCATGTGAATGAATGCAGACCAGATTGGTGGGTATTCAATATGAGAAGATAGCTTGAGTCAATGAATGTTGAATTTCCAATAGCAGAACTTTCCTATGTATATATGTTCAATCCTACTTAACAAAGTTAAGTTAGCTCAGTGGTTCGAGATACAGGCCATTGATTGTAACTCTGTGTGTCAGGTTATGGATCTCAGAAGCCAACATGCACATATGGGCAATATCATATCAGTCTCTTATTAATAATATTCCCCTACTATGGAATTTTTCAAATTCAATATAGCTAAGTTTTTTAATCTTAAAAATGAATTATTTTTAAGCGTGAATTATTGGTATCATTTTTAAATTTTAAAATTTCATTTTCCTTGAACACATTTTTCTGTTTCTCTGTTTCTGTTCTCCAATGTTTTTTGATCATTAAGAATTTCATTCCTTTTTTTCTCAAGTGCTATTGATTTATTCATTTCTGTTCAGAGCAATGCCTCTTCTAGGCCAGGCTTGTCTTAAACAATGTAGTTGAGAATTGCTTTGAACACCTAAACCTGCCTCTGCTGTCCAGTGCTAGGAAGACAGTCCTGCAACTCCTTCCAAGTTGGGCATTGACTGATCATTGAGAAGAAAAAATAGACCCGTTAATGAGTGTCTTCCAATACATCTGGCTTTTATTATGGATTTCCAAATGAAGAGGGACCTGTGCATGAATTAAGTTTATTGACCAACTTTGAAGCTGGTATTGTTACAGTGCAGAAAGGGAGGGGCAAGAAAGAGGGTGAGAGCTTTTCTACTTTGACAGTAGTTGAAATCAGCAATGGGGAATCGAGTAATCAATTTTAGATACTCCATAATTCTCCTGACTGGCCATTTCTTGGGGTCAATAGACCACGGCAATCAAGAATCAGAATAAAGAACTGAACTTATCTTAAAACCAAATTACTATAGTTAATCTAGTTCAACCAAAATAGAAGATCTGGGTAAAATACTGTGACCCTGCTTAACAGGACTGTTATTTTTCTGGTTTAAGATGTAGAGCCTGAGAGAAAGATGTAAGTAATCCTTTGTGTGCTCTCATTATATATTCCTAGTGATGAACACGTGGCCATAAAGCCTGTTTCAACTTTTCAAAATTATTTTTTGAAATATAACTATGTGGTATCCACAGTCTCTTTGCTACCTCCAAGCCTTACTGTGACCCCCTCATTCTTTTCTAATTCATGGCCTGTTTTTGCTTTAACAACAGTTACATGGTAACAGCAGTTATTGCTTGAGTGTGACCTATGTTTGGCTGCTGGACTTAACCAGCTATGAAACAAAGGGTTGGCTGAACTGCACATTGTGAGTGTAGTAGAAGGTGCATACAAGGGATTCTGGTCTTGGAAGAGTAACAGGAAGTGCTTTGAGAGACTGGCAGAATTTCTACTAAAATACAAATTTCCTAGACTAGGGCCCTTTCTACCCCTAGGGCAGAAGGGAAGACCTGAGAAGGCCTGTGCTATCTTAGTCATTTGATCACTGCTCACTCAGTAGGGGAGCTGCTAATGTCCTGAGGCCCAGCTGGGTTGCCCTAGCTAATGAGGCATTCTAGAAAGATTTAGCAATCAGGAATACCAGTGGGAATTAGCTTTCAGGTTCTTCCCAGGATTCTCTGCTTCTGCTATAGGTAGCTGTGAGGGAGACCACAAGCCATGTCATAGTGAGTGTGGGGCCACTGTCCCCGGACAAGGAGAAACAAGTCTGCTGAACTGTCAGAGGTGCTGGGGCAGGGATGGACCACGGGCCATTGTGTGGTTCTGTTGATACATGTGATGACC